CCCAATACAGAATTCTAAAATTACAGCCCCCATAGTCTACTAGTAGCCCCCCTATAAATTGCATCAATGGACAGTTAGGATTCATCCCCCTTTATGGTGGGACTAAGAATTCTGAACTGGGCTGATGAGACCGAATCAGCCCCCCATAATGTTTCACAGCACATCCCCGCTGTGTATTGAGAACATCTCCCGACATCATCATCCTGAAATTATAAAAATATATTAAGGCCCCATTCACTTTTCAGTAAGTTACTTACCTAGGTAAGTTTTTTCCGAGAAATACTTACCCGGGTAACTGTATTTACCCATGTTTTTTTTTTATTTCTCAGGTAAATAAGGTAATGACCATTTTAGTCATAAAAATCCATTATTGAAAAGGGCATTTTTGTCCCATTCAAGTTTAGCAACTTTCCTCCTAGGTGGGAAAGTTATTTATCCACCGAGGAGATGGCCCATGAAAATAAACTTTCCCTGGTCCCCACATTATTCTGAAAAATGAATATGGGATTCTTGGTCAATGGGAATCAAAATCCCATTGACCAACTTTCCCCCCTCTCAAAATCCATAAAAAGAACTCCCCCTAAATAGATGAAGAATTGAAGATTAAATACCCACTATAAGTCAGTAACACAAACTTTGTTAAGTAAAATTGTAACTTATCCTAAACCACTAATCATTGTATCTCAATTCAAGATGATGAAGATGCCTGCCAATGTGATGGTGTCTCTGGGTTGTCCAAGACTCCGAGCTCTTTGTGATGATGACGTGGCCAATAGGTGTGGCAAGTAGACAATGGTATGCATGCTGCTTCTTCAAGAGACATGGGCTGGTTATTAAAATCACCAAAGAACAGTATGGGCCACATTAAAAAGAAGGGAGAAGTACACTGTACCCAATACAGAATTCTAAAATTACAGCCCCCATAGTCTACTAGTAGCCCCCCTATAAATTGCATCAATGGACAGTTAGGATTCATCCCCCTTTATGGTGGGACTAAGAATTCTGAACTGGGCTGATGAGACCGAATCAGCCCCCCATAATGTTTCACAGCACATCCCCGCTGTGTATTGAGAACATCTCCCGACATCATCATCCTGGATATTATCATTGGGAGATGTTCCCAATACATGGCAGGGATGCGCTGTGGGATGTTGTGGGGGGCTGATTTGAACTCCTGGGCTGATTAATCATTCTCCCTAAAAAGAAATTGGATGTAATTACTATTTTACCCCATTCTATTATAACATAGTATTTCAAAAAATGTTCTTAACAGCATCATAGGTTGTTGGCCCCCAACAGCCCAAGTTTTTCCAGCCGAATGGGCCTCACTGGGACGAATGGAGAAGGGCAACAAGATCAAACCACCAAAGTGATTTGAAACCGACCGGTCTGGAACGGTTCACCAATTTAACCACTTTCTTCTTGGCCAGAGGACAAAAACTGGGGAGTGCTTCATGTTTGGCGCATCATCAAATGGTTCTCGATCTCCACTCCAAGTCTCCATGGCTAGAAAGAGCGTCTGAAACGAACTAGTCTAGAACCAATCTGTGGACTGTGGGGTGTAGATCTGGAAGAGAAAGTATTGTTGGAGCCGATGCACTCTCCCAACTCCCAAGAACTGCATAACCGTACGAGAATGAAGAACTAAAGCAGAGACCAACAAAGAGATGACAGCATCACTAGCTACCTGATTTGATCGGTAAAAAGAACAAGGGATTATAATAAGGACAATTTTAGGTCTCTAATATAAATAAAAATAATACTTTTAAAAAAAATTTAAAAATAGATTAACTTTTTAAAAATAATATTAATTAAGTGCAAAAATACTGTTCATCTTCTTTCTCTTGTAATTCATTAATCATCGCCGCATCCGGCAATGCTTCCGCCTTTCTCCGCCTTTGCCTCCGGCAACGTTGCCGGAGGTGGGCGGAGGCAAAGGCGGCGGCGCGGCGCTGGTGGTCATTCCTCTGCCCAATGCTGCCACCTCCGCCCATCAGCGCTGCCTCGTTGCCTCTGCCTCCACCCACCTCTAGCAACGTTGCCGGAGGCGGAGGTGGTGGTGTTGGGCAGAGGAATAACCAGCACTGTCGCCTCTGCCTCTGCCTCCACCCACCTCCGACAATGTTATTGGAGGCAGAGGTGGCAGCATTGGGTAGAGGAATGACCACCAGTGCCGCCGCCGTTGTCTCTGCCTCCGCCCACCTCCGACAACGTTACCGGAGGAGGTGGGCGGAGATAGGCGGCGGCGGCGGCTGCAGTTGATGGCGCTAATGAAGGGATTGAAAGAGGAAGAAGATTTTTGTCTAAATTGATATTATTTTAAAAAAGTTAACTTATTTTTTGAAATTTTTTTAAAAATATTACTTTTATTGATATAAGAGCCCAAAAATTATCTTTTATCTGTCATAATCCCAAAAAGAAATAGTGATAAGGCGATAAGGACAAATTCGTATTTTTCTTACTAACAATCCCTTCATTACTAAAATTAGAAGGTTTCTCACACGGTGATCTTGCCAAGGATTTAGGAACTTATGATAGATAGCTACAATTTTGATCTTGAAAACATGATCAAACTAATGAAAGGAAAGAAGAAGAAAATGAAAAGTAGGGCAGGAGAAAAGATCATTTAGAGAGAGAGAGAGGGGATTGTTTGCTAGCTACTGGTTTGATAGTCAACAACGAAGGGAGAGATGAGACCCATCTCTCTCTCTCTCCTTCTTCTTCTTCTTCTTCCAACACCCCTTTGCCCCTGTTTTTCTCTCCTTTTATCCATCCAATCTTCATCTTCTGCAATTATTCCGTGCATGTGATAAAATTCTTGTTATCCTCGGAATGAAAAATTACAAAGAAGTTACCGATGAGTTCAGTGACATGAAGCTTTCATGGTCTTTAAACAAAAATTCGACCACCGAGGTTTCAGATTACCACTGCTGTTGATGATAGCTTTCTACACACTCATATCTCATAAGCGTCACTCGGAACTTATCCCTGGTTCCCTCTTTTTTTTTTTGTTTTGTTTCAATGTATTTTAAATTTTGAAAATTTTGGGAAATATGGAAACAGAAATAATTTCATGCTGGTTAAATTGTTTGCACGTACAAATTCTTCGACCCTTATGGCATTGATGTGTCTCACTCTAATAGGTTGTGCAAGAAAATGTATAAGAATAAATGTGCAGGATATCCAGACTCATGGATGTATGTAAAACTGTGAATATTGTCCACGTCAACCAGCCTCCCTTTCGTCCCTTACCAATTCCTTACATTCTCCTTAAACAACCTCTCCTTCCTCCTATGTTCTCTCATAAGCCACATCATCAGGCCCTAAACTATCTTCATTAGCCATGTCATCATTATCATGGTTTTCAAGTTTCAGAATCTTGAGAGAGATGAAAATTTCCCAAAACCAACCAACATACAATTATAGGAAACCAGCCAAAATGGTTTCCTTCTCCTTCCCTTTCCTAAACCCAAGCTCCTACCTTTCTATTTATCACCGATCTTTCCCAAATAAAACACCCAAGCATCCCCTGTTTCATTTTTGCACAATTCATTTCTGTTTCTCTTCTCCTAGTTTACTCTTACTCAATTTGTTTTTCAACCTGCAGATAGGGGTGTCAATTAGGCTGGATTTGGTTCAATCTGATTCAGTTCAATGTGAGTTCATTACAAATGGATCAGGCCCAATCTAATCCAATAGATATTTTGGATCATTTTGGACAGATCCAATTGAATATTTGAATTGTTCAATTACTTTTAGACCATTTAGTCTGGATTGGTCCAAATTCAATATTTTTTATTGATCAATCCAATCTATCTAAATTAATTTTGGTTTGGACAGGGTCCAATCCAAAATCGGTCCATTTGACATAGTAGGAAAAATCGCGCCTATATTCAGAAGTCTATATCGTCCACTCACGCAGAAAATTTTGAAATCTCCAATGGAAGTATGGAACCGAACTTGATAGATTAATTAAGCTCCATTTCGTCAATTTGCAAAACTAAAGCCTAATGGCATCGATCAAAGTAAAAAGCGGAAAAGGACAGGCTTCGGAAAAAGAAAAACTAACAAATAAAGCAAAGAGATATAACAGTGAATGGACCAAGTTTACCGTTTAATTAGCAACAGTCTGAGTTGAGATGATGGTATTTTCGGGTCCGACCTAGATTCCATCGGACCCTAAATACTTAAGTCATGTTTGGCCACTCCGGTCCGGTTGCAAATAGTAAACCAACTTCAATCAACTTGGTCTGCTTTACATGGGTCCGGTTTACTTAATTTTTACACCAACTATTTATTTATTCTGTTACTAATTAATGAGGAATTGATTAATTAATAGTTATATTAATAACAAATAATGAGTAATTAAAGGTAATAACTCTGTTAATTATTACATTAATCAATAGTAATTATAGGGACTTAATTTACAATTAATTAGTTAATTAACAGTAACTTAGATAAATTAATTGCCTTAATTAATTTAAATTAATAGTAGTTTACAGTATTTACTTTTGCCAATTATTTAAGTTAATTAATATTCAATTTGATTAATATAAAATAAAATAATTACTTAAACATTAATTTCATTGCTTTAAACACTATTTTAATTAACAATAAAATGTTACATGATTACTTTAAATTTAGTAATATTCAGTAATTTCTGAAGTACTATTAATTAAAAAAATGCTAAACTATTGTTACTTATTAAATATAATCAATAAATTCTAAAAATTATTGAATTACTATTAATTAAAAAATAATGAATTAATGTTAGTTATAGTTAATAAAATTTATATTTACCAGAAATTGCCATCATTTATAATTTCTATTAATTAACATAAGTATTGTTTATTAATAAAATTACTAACTGGACCTCCTAGTATATATATAATTAGGGCTATTCATAAGAATGCCCAACCCGACCAACCCGGACCGACCCAACCCGACTTGGCCGGGTTTTCATCCGTACCGGTCGGTTTCGGGTTGGGCACATACATAAACTGAAATCTCGGGTCGGTTTCGGTTTTCTTGCGTGAAAACCGAAACCAGCCCGACCCGAACCAAACTAGTATTCTACTATTTTGGTAGTTCCTACTTCCTAGTTTGAGTAGTTTCCTAATTCTTACTAGTCTTCTACTAGAACTAGAACTCTAAAAGGCCCATTAGGCAATTACAATTAGAATTCAATTAGGTGTCNTTTATTTTATTGATTTACCTACCTAGATTTACCTAGTTTTTTACTCTAGAAGGCCCATTATTGACACTTGTTTTTACATGAAGAATTTATTGATTTTATTYTTYACHYRAATTAAATTTAGATTTATCTTGGACTCTTGAATATCAAATTATCAACTAATTCAGATTTTAGTTGGCTTTGTACAGGAACAAAATCGAAACCGACCCAAACCGACCAGGTCGGTTTGGCCTGTCAGTGGGTTGGTTTCAGTTCCCACCTTAGTTAACACGACCAGGTCGGATCGATTAGGAAAATCCTAAGAAACCGACCCAACCCGACCCGTGAACACCCCTATATAAGAAATAAGTACATTTGACAAAAATGAAGCAAAAAAATCGGGTTAACCCAATCAACTCAAGACCAACCGACCCCAACCTAAACCTGAGCTGAATCCAAAGTTAGGTTAGGGTTAGACTCTTAGAGTTGGGAGTTCAACAATTGGGGTAGGATTAGTGTTACATCAACCCGGCCTGACACTACTCGATTTGCACCCTTGCACCTAATTTGCTCTTGGGATTATGGCGGATAAGATAACTTTTAGGCCCTAATATTAATAAAAGTAATAAATTTAATAAAATTTTAAAAATAAATTAACTTTTTTAAAATAATATAAAAACGGACATGATTACTGTTCATCTTCTTCTTATAGTTTATTCATTAAAGTCGCCCGCCGCTACCTCCTACACTCCTCCACCCACCTCCGGCGATATCGCCGCGAGGCAGAAGTAGCGGTGTTGGGCAAAGACACAAGCGAGAGGTGGACGGAGGTGCAAAACGTTGAAAACTCGTTCTCACCTTGCAAAACGTTGAAAACTCACTACTCTTCCGCCTCCGCCCACGACGAAAGGAAGCAGAGGGGCACAGCCAAATGCAAAGAACGCTGCCAATGTCACAACCCCGTTCTTCCATGCCTTTTCCTCATTGTCCGGTGATTGCATTCCTTTTTGGGTTGTCATCTTCTCGTCGATCAATATATCTTTGTACTTGGAAAACACGTTCACCACCTTGCAAAACAATATTATTTAAAACCCAACAAAATCAATTAATGGAATAACCAAATTAAAAGCTCTGGTTGTCGATCGATCGATTCCAGTAATTAACTTCATCAGAACCAGTGATGACTGGAGCTATCTGATTTAATTTTACTCACAGTCACAGTGGTGGCATCTTCGAGGCTCATCCCAAGTTGTTGATACCTCTGTATCAGTTCCATCTGCTGCTGCCGGCCATGGTTATTTACATCCCACTCTGTAACCAACCTCTCCTCTTCAATAGCGTCCTTCTTGGTGCCAATCGATATGAAATATGCGAATCCCATTGATATCCCGTTGGCCACCAAATTCGCAAACCCCAACACTAACACGTCAACTGCACAACAAATTGAAGTACAAAAGAAAGATTTTCAGACCAATAAATTAAAAAAAAAAGAAGAAGACGCTTTTCAATAACAACACGTTGACGACGTTGGGTACGTTGTATTCTACTGAGAAAGACGACGATGTGGATGTGGGTGTGGGCTCACCGGAAGAGTAGTGAACGGAGGCGTTGGGTAGAGGCGGCGGCGTCGGAAATGTGCGACGGAGGTAGGCGGAGGCGTACCGGAGGCCAGTGTCACCGCCGCCCACTTCCGAAGGTGGAGGCGTGTTGGAGGTGGGGGTGGGCGGTTCTCATGAATAATCTATAAGAAGAAAAAAATGAATAATAATTTTGTCCATTATTAAAAAAAAATAACTTATTTTTAAAATTTTATTAAATTTATTATTTTTATTAATATTAAAGCTCATAAATTGCCCTTATCTTATATAAACCCTTTGCTCTTCCACCTAGAGCAGCTTCAAAGCTAAGTTCCTTTTCCAAGCCCCTACACCTACAGTGTGGGGGATCATGAGGATAAGGGAAACCTTGGAAAAATGGTAGGAGCAATTTATTAGAGGTGAGAGCAACAGCAAAATTGCCTACAAGTCTACAACCACAAATTGGTTTTGGGTTTTCTACGTCAGACTCGATTCTCTGTTGATTGCTTTGGCGACTGGCGTTGCAAACTCATGCAATGCAGTCGATTGAAAGAAAAATATGGGGATAGAATATATATATATATATATATATATATATATATATATATATATATATATATATATATAATGTGGGGATAGAATACATCAACATTGGCGCCGACAGAAATCATTCCATCCAACAATTGACATGTTAGATGTTTTCATGCATGTTAGCCTGGTTATAAGGGAAGAGCAAACGCCGGTTACCTCCGTTTGTTTGTGATACAAACGTTGAATCGAGGTATTTATGCATTTGGTTCAGGTTTGTTTGAAATGTAAAAAAATAATGAATAATGTATTTTTTAATATTTTTGTATTTTAAAAAAGAATAATGTACATATTTTTTGGATATAATTTTATATTAATTTGATAATTAATTTTTTGATTAAAATTGAGGCATTGAAACCTTTAATGATGGGCCCATACTTTTGCATCGATTTCAAATAAAGAATGCAAAAACGATTTAAAATATAAATTGTATTTGCATTTATGAACGGAAAAATAGATAAATATGTAATGTACATATTTGTATTTGCATTGCAAACAAATGCAGTCGAAGGAAAAAAAAAATAGAACAAAGGTCAAATCAATAAATCAAATTAACGGATTGTAACGAAAAGGGTGCACTTGAAATAATGTGTAACTTTAAGGGAGTCTAATGCTATTAAGCAAAAGGAAAGAAAAGTTTCAGCCATTATCATAGATTACGGGGAGGTAATGGCCATTTACCTAAAATTAAAGGTTTAATTTTACTATTCAAGCCGGTTGCAAGTGATCTCTAAACTGGAACTACGTGTCAGAAATTTACCGGACTCGAAGATAAAATCCCTGCGAGTCCAAACGCATTGTATCCGGAGTATGCTCTCTGATGTTTGTCACTTTGCTTTGGCATTTTCTTTCCGGGAGATTCCCGAGGTTATCACCGGATAAAACCATCACCTAGATACAATTTCTGCAAGTTGATTTTCAGTTTCGCGTGGCCGACGACCAACTCCGAAAGACTCACTACATTGGAAAAAGAAAAGTGTACCTAGACGAAGCTTCTGATACCTCTTTTTTTCTTTCCGGAGAAAGCAGAGCTGCTGCTCTAATGGCGGCTTCTTGATATAGGTTGACACGTGGCACTAAAGTGAGGATCCATGAGTACAGCGTTCCCGACTGCTTTAGAATGGAAGTTCTCCCAGGTCTTCGGTGAACGGACACCAGGAGAGGATGTTCAAGACGGTTAGTTAGCCTTTCTGCTTTTGTTTGTTCTTATTGATTATTTTCTTCCCTTTTTTTTGTTGAATTTGTATTCATGTTTTATGCAATCTTTACCTTTTTCGTCTTTTTATTGTGGTGAACTGTTCTTTTGTTGCTGGAATTGTTGACCTATTAAAGAGCTTATTCTGTTATATTTACACATTCCTTATGATTTTTCTGCTGTCAGAGCTTTGCTTTTGTATTCCATGTTTCTGTCTTTTGCGTTGTTATGTTGCCTAAGCTTTAGATTAATCGGTAAGTTTAGGATTCATTGAACCTTTCCGGTAATATACTTGTAATCGCCTTATGGGCAGTCAGACGAATTATGCTATGACGTTCATTTCATTTTGGTAGATATTTTCTAGCACTGATTATCATCCCTAAAAAATTTGATGGTCACTGATTATGCAAAACTTTGGTGCCGTCTTCAGTTGATATTGTCTCAACAGTTGAGTTTGAGAAGAGAGGTGATTTTCTTGCCACCGGAGATCGAGGCGGCCGTATAGTCATTTTTGAAAGGACGGATGGGAAAGATGTAACCATCCTTGTCTCTTGAGACTTTTGTTAATTTTTCTTTATGTATTTTTATCTGAATTTGAATTTTCTAGACTATGGCCTTCCTGCTGAAACTTATCATTTTGCAGTGAGCATAAAATACTAAAATAGGTTGAGTTTACATCATTGTCCTCAATTATTCAATTCTTGGAATTTTAATTAGTGCCATTCTCGAAAAGAGTTGGAGATCTTGGATTATAGACCCCAAGGACATCCTGAATATCGCTACAAGACCGAATTCCAGAGCCATGAGCCAGAGGTATACCTTTTATTTGGTGGACCATTGTGTACATTGATGTTTATACTGTGTTTGCCGATCCTGACAATGTTACCATTTCCAATAGTTTGATTACGTGAGGAGTGTGGAAATTGAGGAAAGGATCAACAGAGTAAGATGGTGTGCAACACCAAATGATTCACTGTTTATTCTCTCCACAAATGATAAGGCAATTAAACTATGGAAGGTAACAATTTTTTTTTTTCACTTTGGAAAAAGGAATTCCACTCGCTAAGATTATCAGCTGAAGGAAAAAAGGGGTCCTTTGTTCTCCTTGAATCATTTGACTGTCAACCTATTACAAGGGATGCATCAGTTTTCTTCAGTACTACACTATAGTTGTTTCATTCATGCACCATTAATTGCTCCTTTATTCTTTATGTCCCTGGAAGCTAGGTTAAGGACCACAAAGTGAAGAAAGTCAAACAAATGGAACTGAATCCATTTGTATGTTCAGAAAATTCACTGCTGTCTGAAAAGAGTTTTCTTATTGGGAAACATGAACCTTCTTTTATTAATGGTTATCATCTGGAGTGGAAAAATGAAATGCCAAGTAATGTATTCCCATCTTCCCATGAAGAGTTTGCCAAGGTATGTTTCTCTGCATTCTGCCAGATTCAAACATTTCTTCTCAGCTATATGGCTTTGGCAAAGAGTATCATACAAACTTATTCACCAGTTTGTTGTTGACTAGATAGCCAACAATAAAGAGGCTACTCTTGCAAGATGTCGGAAGATCTATGCTCATGCTCATGATTTTAATATTAACTCTATCTCAAACAATAGGTAAGTTCACACTTGGTTTTCTTTATCCTTTTCTGGAATTCTTTCAACTTCAAGTCTCGGTTTTTAGTGCTTTTCAGGCCTTAAAAGAGGATACAAAATGCAAGTCTTTCTTAATTAATGCGGTTATCTCCAAATAATATTTTTTTAATTACTCTTCCTTCTCAATGATGAAAATAAAATATACAAGTTTAATTCAAATATTCAGTTTTCTTGAGTTCACTTATTGCCTCTAACATGGTACTCTGGTTTCATACCATCTTGCAGTGATGGTGAGATATTTGTTTCTGCTGATGACCTAAGGATAAACTTGTGGAACTTGGAGGTCAGTAATCAGTGTTTCAATATCATTGACATGAAACCATCAAACATGGAGGATCTAACAGGTAAGCTGTAAAAAGTCCTCCTTTTGGCTTTTTAATTGAATAGACTGTGTAGCATTTCTATTTTGCACCCTTTCTGGAAGTAAAGCTAATGGAATTTCTAGGATAAAAATGGGAGAAGAATGAGAAATTATTAAGAGTGGAGAATCAACTAAAAATGCAGACAAATAGAGAATTTCATCTGTTCTTTCACAAGATAAGCCACAATCTCATAGATGCTCTTAACACCGGGATGGAATATTAAATGCAGGAGTCATGTGTTGATGTAATTACCTGAAGAGTGAGAAAAAAGCTTCAGCACTTGTGAATCACCATTGTCCAGAAGCATGGGTGCAGTCCCATAACTTGTCACCATCTTTGTCAATTTCCAGAAGCATCTAAAAGCATTGACATTACATTTTTAGAGATCTTAGCTGATTAACAAGACAAAAAAAAAAAAACACAAAATTATGCAATTTGGAGATAATTTGAGCAATTGCTTGTCCAATTCTACTTACAGGATATAAGTTCATTATCAGAAGAGTTCCTTACTTTATTGGATCTGTACTTGAAGTGGAGGGTAATTTATTAGATTTTAGTGACAGTAGAGTTTAATGACTGATTTGATAGTAAAGATCTTAGTACAGATGAACTTAAGTTCACTATTACCTTAGAACTTATTTAGATGATAGCAAGGGAGTTGAATGCAATTTTTGTTTGGGTACGTAAATCAGAAGATGGGATGGCTATCACTCTGAGGACCAGTAGTAAACAAATGTTTTGGGGTGTCACAGACACTGATGGGCTGGCTACCACTTGTGCTCTTTGTAACGTATAGACTTTATTTTGTCATAATTTAATAAAATTGATGATAAGTTACCAATCAAATAAAATAAATAAACCTTCACATTCTCTTGGGAGGACTTAGGCTGGAAAAGAAAGAATAATAAAGAATTCTCTGCAAGAAACAGGCTTATGTTTTTCTAGAAGAGGAGTGGAGATTCAAACTGAAAAGATTTAGGCTGAAGGTGCAAGCCTAAATCTTTGTTAGTGTGAAGTTGTTGAGGGAAAGGTTGAAGGTGCAAGCCTTGGGATTGCATGTTAGTGTGAAGTTGTTGAAGGAAACACTGGTGTTGATTCTGAGCATAGTGGAACCGAAATTGACCTTAGCCACTCTTTTGGACAAAGTGCAAGCTTAAACTTAGTTTGTCAAAACTGAAGGAGTCCAGAATATATCCATTTTTTCTCTAAAAAGATGTACCAATCTATTGCAGAAGAGGTAACTAGGACCTTATTACTTCCCAGAAAGCTTCATTGAGAAAGCCAACATAATCTTTGCATAAAAAGAAGACTGAAGATACGATAATGAGGACTGCAAGATGTTAACATGAATGAGAATTCTATATGCTTTAGATAATTTGAAGATACTTCTATTCCTGTGGCACATATACAAAGAGGATCAAATGCCAATGTTGGAACTTACATAATTAATCTTTTTCTTGTTCTTTTTAATTTTGGGTTAGAGTTTATTGTAGAAACTATTAATTGGAATATTGTTAGGAAGCTTTTTCAAATTTCCTTTCTCTGTAATTCATCCCATATGAGCCATAGACTGTGTTTGGACATGACTTGGGTATGATATGGCCAGATAACAATTAGCTGCCAATTAATGCCTTCTCTTCTTCTTTAATTATGTCCTTGTACTCTGATTTTGAATGTACAATTCTCGATTTAACTTTCATATTACATTCACAAGTAATTTTAGAAATTGAGTCATGTTTCTTTGATAATGCTTTCTTCCAGTAGTTTCTTAAGTAATTTTCTAGGTACTTGTAGAAGCTACGTTTGGCAACTGTTTCGGGAATTAGATACATGACCACAGAGTTTTGAATGCTGTCTATTTTGATAAAGGCTCTAAGATATCATCCCACAAGTTTTGAATTTGTGTGCACACTCTCATAATATAAACAATTTAATACTTGATTTTTTCTCCCAAGTTTTGAGTATGTGTATGTTGTGTGCATCTCATATCTTAGACAATTCAGTACTTCCTATTGCTCCTTCATTTGGTTTTTACTTCAACCCTAATTTCATCTTCCTTTTTCAGGCTTGTTCATGGTGCCATTTAGTTTCCAGCACAGTCAAATTAGTCATTTCATATATCAAATTTCTGATCCAAATGGCTGATCATTGTGTTTGACACCCTTTAGATGACATTTGTGGAGTTCCTCTCCTGCATGAAAAGAAATTATTGCATAATAGCTAACAATTTTAGGCTCATTTTCTTCTATCCACCACTTCTAAGATAGTTTTATCCATGGGAGAGCCATGCTTTTTTTATGAATTAATACTTGATAGAAGAATAAAAATAAGAAACACGACAAAGGTTACTTTCTAGAAACATCATTGCTCAACAGTTTTCTATTTACCTCTTGATTTCTTCAGTTTGATTTTTCAACTTTCAGGTCAAGAAAGTTCAAGAGAGAAGCCTAAAACCATTTAAAAAAGGAAGAAGAAAACAGAAGCTAGTGAATTACGGTATTATAACAGTTAGTTTGTATTTTGTCCAACATGGCTTTATCTTTTTTGAGTCTTCAATTTTCGTGGTAAGCAGTATGACTATCAAATCCTTTTGAGTTTGATCCAATTTGGATAAAAAATATGGGGTGTGAGCTACAACAAAAACTTCAGAATTGCGTTTAAAAAGTAATTCATAAAATTTGGATGGGAAGAAGAGTAGTACAAGTCCTTGGAGGTAGGTATTTACAATACTTAGAACTTAGTACCAGTGGAGGAATAACACACTAAACCTATGTTCTTAGGACAATCTTAATGCAGGTTTGCTACAATTTGTGTACAATAAATTCATTTTGTCACCTGTTCAATTTCTCTTCCTGATTGGCTGCCTTTTCCTAATGGATGTGTTGGCTTCTGTCCAGAGGTGATAACATCAGCTGAGTTTCATCCAGTTTACTGTAACCTCCTAGCATACAGCAGTTCAAGAGGTTTTATCCGGTTGATTGACATGCGACAATCTGCATTGTGTGATCACCATGCTAGGATGTGAGTTTAATCTTGTTCCTGAACTTTACACATGCTTGACTGGTCATATTTCTATTCCATTTTTCTGGTTTCTCTACAGAGTTCACTTCAATTTAGCTTGGTAACTCCACTTTCTACTTAGGACAATTCTTGGGGAAGTATAAGTAGCTTTTGACTTGAAATTTGTCTATACAGATTCCAAGATCGTGAAGTCCATGGACCTAAATCCTTTTTTACAGAGATAATTGCTTCTATCTCTGATATAAAGTTTGCAAGTGATGGAAGGCACATCTTGAGTCGTGACTACATGAACCTGAAGGTCTCTTAGCCATTGTGTTGAGCACAAAATTACCAATTGAGCCTGCTTCTTATTACAAATTTATTCATTCTATAATTTGCATCACCTTCTAGAAATTAGGCTGTGTTTGGTTTGGAGGAAAAAGTAGGGAAAGGAAGGGAAAGGCGGGGAAACCTTTACATACCTTGTATAGGTTTCCTTACATTTCCCTTCCTTTCCGTACTTTTTCCTTCAAACCAAACTTAGCCTTAGGGGATCATTCTGCATTTTCTGTGAATTTATCATTGGCATTTTCACAACTATTCTGCTAATATTGCAGCTTCATATTGTACTTCTATTTAGGTTAAGAAATTGTTTAATTCTGTGGGGCCAATATTAGACTGGGGTTAGAACTAAGGGTGCAAATTGGTTACATTATTTGAATAATATACACTGCATGTCTGTATCCAGCATGGGCCCTTGGTACACACCTCTTCATATTTTAGTAAATGCTCAATTCAGGCCGGGCCAAGTTGCACCCCTATCTGGAACCCTCGTATTTTCTTCGTATCTGAGAAACTAACACTTCACAGTGGAATGAACATTTAAAACAACCAAATGCTGCAGTCAATAGTAATCAATGGTTGAGCCTGTATTATTTTATTATCAGTGTCCTCGTTTAATTCTTGATTTATTTCTATACAATTATGGTTGGCAGCTGGCATAAAATCCTTAGCGAATCCAATATGAATATGTTCAGAAATTGATTTAGACACTATATAAATGGATTATGTTTAAAATAACAGGAAATAGTGACTCTAGTCTTGTCTAAGAAAATAAACCAAAATGTCTTGTGAAGATGTATCGGTTTCTAAAACTTCCAAATTTCACAAGTGCAGTAATCCTTTCTGAATAATTTACAGTTTACACTAAATTTTTTGTCACTTCACCATTTTTTGTCCTGGAAATAAACAGTAAGTTCCACAGTAATCTATGCTTATGCAGTCTGTCCCTTGTTGTAGCTATGGGACTTACACATGGAAGGCTCTCCTGTTGCAACTTTTAAGATTCACGAGTACCTCCGCCCTAAGGTAAAGTCTCTTGTTTTTGTTTTCTGACTATTACCAGGAAAAATAAGCTCTATGTATTGTAATTACTTGTCAGGGATTTTTATAGTTAGATTTTTCTGTTTTGGAACACTAGAAATAGAAAAGACAATAATTTTCTGATAAAACCATCATGAAAGTTCATCCATCCATCTTAATTTTCACTTGCAAACCGTGAAGCAAGAAAGGGAATTCTCCAATGCAATATTTGCCCTCCCCTTTTGGTGCTTCTGTCATTGCTGGAAGAGACTGATAGATGCCTTTCCAGAGTTTCCCTTTGACTTTGTTCACATTTACTTTCCTACATACATTGAATTAGGGTGGGCTAATCATAAGTTGACCTTAGCTCAGTTAGAAGAGCAGAGGACTGGTCCTCTAGGTTGCTGGTTCGATTCCAGCAGGTCGAGTTATCTAAATTTTACTCGTAGTTTTATTTTTTGTACCTTTGAGTTCAGATGTGCCGAGAGCACCACTTATATCTGATTTGTTCAGATTTCCTCACAGAATCCTCATCACACCCATCTCATAGCACGTTGCGGCAGCACATTGAGAATATCTCCTGTACTTGTATGTTTTTCATTCATAGGAAGATGTTCCCAATGCTCTGCTGCAAGGGCCGTGAGGAACATTCTGGGAGGAGGAAATCCGGATTCAGTGATTGCCCATTTGGTTATTTAATATCACTAATTAATTAATCCATAATATTTATATAGTTATTTAACTAATAAATGATGCTTACTAATATTAAATATGTAATTATTTAATAATAATGATTAATAAATTTGTAACTATCTAGTAATTAATTATCAGAAATCAGTATTACAGAACAAACCCTGAATTGACTTTACAACGTTTTTATTCCAAAATTTCTTGTCTACCTTTCATACCCATACATTTTACTTTGAACATAAAGCCATTATCAGTTGCAAACTTACGATTTTATATCTCCCTTACACCTTTATTTTTGATAATTCACACTTTGGGGGCGTTATTTTGGGAAAGTTGACAATGGGATTTTGGCTCCAATTGACCAAGAATACCATGTTCTTTTTTCAGATTAATGTAGGGACCAAGGAAAGTTTATTTTCCTGGGTTTCACTTACCCAGGTAAGTAATACCCATCTCCTAGGTGGGTAAATAACTTTCACCTGGGGGGAAAGATTTCAGTACTTAAATGGGACAAAAATGCCCTATTTAATAATGGATTTTTATGGCTAAAATAGTCATTTTCTTTTTTACTTGGGAAATAAAAGAATATGGGTAAATACACTTACTTGGATAACTGTTTCCCAATAAAAACTTACTCAGGTAATTGCATTTACCCGAGTAAGTTACTTACCGAAAAGCGAACGGGGCATTTGTTGCTAGAAAAGTAATTTATCTTATATACTCATGGTGTTTGCTGCCTTTATTGTTTGCCTAGTTTTATGGTTGCAATCTTTATTTTTCTCATGCATAAACTATGTTTCTTCTGTAGATTACTGAATCACGGAATGCCCAATTCTTATGCATTTCATTACGAACTGTAGCTAACTTAGCATGTTTTCTCTGCAGTTATCTGATTTATATAATAACGATTCAATTTTTGACAAATTTGACTGCTGCCTCAGTGGCGATGGGCTTCATTTTGCTACTGGATCATATAGGTTTGTGCTTTGGATAGGATGCTACAGTAGGTGCATGTTAGCTTCATTCAAGAGGGTGGCACAACCTACTGTAGGTTTATTTTTCCACTTCATCCAAACAAATGCATATGTGGTGACTCTTGGGTTTTCCTGTGTATGATTTTAGCAATGCTTTTCGAGTTTTTTCTAATGGGGATGGAAGCGAAGAAGGAACAACTCTGGAAGCTAGCAAAAATCCAAACAGGTGATTTTCATTTCATATTTAAATATCGGTTCAAACTTGCAACCCATTCATGAAAATTTTATTGAAGGAAGATCAAATGGATCAACTTCCAAGCCCTATCTAACATGTCCAATTTTCATATTAGATACAGTTATCTATAAAAAAGAATGTCCTTGTTACTGATAAAAGATTATTTGTATAAACCAAGGTTTTTAAAACTGGACCGGACAGGGAATTGTTCTGGGTTCCGGTTTCTGGGTTGAATGGTCCGACTGTCCAGTCCAAATGGACGGCTCGCTGTGACAATAATAAAAAGAAAAAACAAAAAATGGCTAAAAACCGTTGTCCAGGTTGACGGTTCACCGGTTTGACCACCCAGATCAGCGATTTGCTGATCAAATCAACAGTTTTGGCCAAAAGACGGTTTTGGGTGAAACAGGATCGGTCAGATAACTGGTTCTTAGTTTTTTTGGTTCGATTGTCTGGTCCGGTCCGGTTTTGAAAACACTGGTATAAACTACTGAAGAGTTGGCATGGGCAATTTTGCGCCCATGATACTTGTAAGGTTGCATTAGGATCAGTTGATGATTTGATTTTATCCACTTCTTTCTGATAAGCTTCAGTTGTAACCAGGAAGCAGTATCACCAAACTACTAGAACTAGACGGACATCACTGAGCAACCTCACACGTGGCTATCATAGACAAGGTTAGTCTGTTATCCTCCCTTCCATCTTTCTCATTTTATGTCAATTCTGTCTTTGATTAGTCAGCTTTTTCTTCACAGGACATGAGAAGTCCAGTATTGATAGTCATGGACTCCCTGACCTGACCTCCAAACTGCTACATCTGGCCTGGCATCCAACGGCAAACTTAATTGCTTGCGCTGCTGCAAATAGCCTGTATATGTACTATGCGTAGCTCATTTGTATAATTTGTATAAATGCACTGCACATAGTTCTTCAATACCTTCATGTCAGTGCCTAAAAGAGACCTGAGATAAACTATAAATGAAGAGGGTCTTGTTATGGCTTACCTAATGTTTCTTGTATGTATGTAATTTATTTATTTATATATAAATCATGATTTTTAAAACTGGACCGGACAGGATGGTTGGATCAGAAAAAGGGAACCAGTCAGGTGACTGGTTCCATTTTACCCCATAACCATTTTTTCCAAAAATCGTTGATTTGGTCAGTAAACCGCTGACTCGGGCAGTTGAACTGTTCAAACCATTCAACGATTTGACTAGTTTTTATTTTTTATTTTGTTAAAATGGGCCATCTATTCAGTTCGATTGATTGGACCATTCTAACTCCGGAACTGAACCCTGACCGATTCATTGTCCGGTTAAATTTAAAAAACCTTGATATAAATAAACAGACCACCAAAAGTTTGTAATTTACCCTTAAAAAGAAGACAAATTACGAAAAGACCTTGAATGCCCGAATGCCCATGAACGGAAAAACAGATACGCAAAACCTAATACAGCAGCCCCTAATGTTATTCTTTCTACCCTTAATCATCTCAGTCAAATTCGGCTATTTGGGAATGATTGGGTGCTTCCTGCACGTTACACGTTACACCACCCAGTATGCCTTCTTGGCTAAAAGCAATAGTCTAATACTTCTCTTTCTGATGGATTAATGAAGTCTAATGGTTGAGACTTGAGAAGTATTTGTGTCACTAGATTTGAACCGCAAGAACCAGCCTGACCTAGAAATAACTAAAAGAAAATTCAAAGGAATGCCATTCTCCAACATATATCTATCACTTTTTGAAGATGTTTGTTTCCGCAAAGTAGCATTTCTTTGCAGACTCGTTTTCGTTACTTTCATAAGCAACCAAAAAGGAGCCTCGGAAAAAAGAAAAGAATAAAAAAGTTGGGATACGGAACAAAATCTAAGAGCGTTTTTACCATCACTAGTCGCTAGAGGTGTTTGGAATTTGGGTTGGCAAATCAGTGAATTTTCAGGTATGACTGGGGGCTAGTACAAAACAGTTCAGCGTGATAAAAATTGGTGAAACAAATTCAAATTGGTGAAGAGTTGAGACTGATCAAACGAAGGGAAAAGAAAATAGGATAACTGTGGAATTATGCTGTGTTGGAAGAGCGACTTCATCAGCAGCCTTTCCATGTCCATAAATCCCTGGACAGAAATCAAGGGGTAGAAAATCCGGTCTTTCTTTTCAGAATTTAAATCAGATAATAAATATTTTCTTAATGCCTCAAAAGTAGAAAAGGAATAAGCTTTTTACTGTGTCCAACATAGATTAAGAGTCCTGGCTGAAAGAAAAAAAAAACATAGATTAAGTTTTTCATTTTCGCAAGTCATGTAAAATCTTGCATTGATATAGCAGGGGTTTTTATAATTTGAAATGTAGAATTGCTTGTTAGAATTTTGTTGATTTCTGGACCAATCTACAGCCTAATTTCAACATGTAACTGACAGTCTTCCTATTAAAAAGGAAAATTGAAAACTTTACCTTGCTGCTCCTATCAAATGTTGAAACGAATAATGCTGAATTCAAATTCATTTCAAAGTCCAGGAGAAATTGAGAACACGGATTTCAGAAAGTGGTCAAACAAATCATGGGGGAAAGTAAGAGTCTGGTTGCTTCAAAATTGTCGACTATCCATTGTGCTTATAGATCGCTACCTGTGTTAAAAATAATAATCAGGTATTATCAGACCTTGCGACAAGAATCCCATTTTATGGTTGACCTACAGAGTATATTCCCTGGATAAATGGTGATTATCAATTCAGCGTGATCACCAGACCACATTGGGTAGAATTCATATTATGCCTGTGTATGATATACATCTCATACTTAGAGGGTGAACCTGGGGGTTTGAGATGAGATAACAGTTGGAGGCCTTGCCCTAGAGCCTAGGTGTGAGGCTCAAACACCCTCTTAAACACTTCTATAATATTATATATCATATTATCTTTTTATCGCTGTAACTTATTAATACTTGGGATTAAGGCTGAGCTGAGTTGAATTTATCATTGTAACATTTAAACTATATTTACCATGGAGTAACACTATTAAGCAGGAGCTATCTTGAGAAGGTGTCAGGTGAGAGTTCATTATTTTGATACATGGGTGAGAGTTTATTATGTATACCAAATACTCTGGTGGTCAACTTAACAAGAGCTATTCTTGAGAAGGGGAGAGCTTATCATGTCTACCAACTACTCTAGTGTTCAACTTAATAGTAGGTGTGCAACTTGGGCAGGCTCGGGTTGAGCTTCTGTCAAAATTTGAATGGGCCCAGCCAAAAGCAGTGTAAAATGCAAAGTTGGGCCAACCTGAGTTGCACCCCTACTTAAATAGGTGTCATTTCCTTTCAAATCTGTGAACAAATTTTAGAAGGATAAGATAAATCAACTCTTGATTGTTAGTTCCTGCATGATAGTACCAGGGGTACCTTTTTATCCCTTGAGCAGAATCCATAAGGCTGCATTTGGATGCGATGTAAATTTTACATCGATTTGGTTTTGTATGTGTTTGGAAAGGGTGTAATTATTATTGACATAAAACTACACTTTGGTTTTGTGTGCGTTTGGATGGAGTGTAGTTTTACATCGATAATCGATGTAAAACCTCATCAACTCTAAAGTTTTACATTGACAATCGATATAAAAACTACATTGATTTTATCAATGTAAAACTTTACACTCTTCCACCCATCACTATTTTCAAAAAAGCAATGGTCACTTTCTGGTTCACTTTCTAATGACATTTTATACTATTCTAAACGCAACCTAAGCCATTCTACTGCAAAAATCAATATATTGTGAGACCACGAGAGAACAATTAAACCTTTAAGGATTTGTGATAATTGCATATCAAGTAATAAAATACATTAGTACTTGATGTAACGGTTTCTGGTCACGTATCATTTTTTTGGCTAAGTACCTCGTCACCACGTCTTCTCCCAAGTGGCCGATGACTCAGAGGCTGAAGTGGAGCTCCCTGCATAGTGCAACCCGACTGTTCCCTGCAGAAAATGATCTGCTCATCTTTGTAGATGGTGGGAACTGAAGAACCTACAAGAACTGAATCAGAAAACCCGGGGTGGCTTACCCGGCGAGGTCACTCCGATGGCTAAGTTAACACTTAGTGGTAGAGAGCTTGAAGATGATATCAGAGAGTTAGAGAGCTAGAGAGCAGGGGTAACATCTCATCCTTCGCCCCTGGTGGGTGAGGCCTTTAGATACTGGAGTCCTCGTGGGTTTGGTGGAGCAGTTCCTGGATTCCTGCTGTGATGGGACCTGCTTTCGTGTTAGGTGGGGATAAAGCCACCAACCAGTAAGGTTGCCCATTTCCGCCTAAATCAGGGAGTGGGTGAGCTAATATAGCCGTTACAAGTCATAATCCCGTAAAATGTGGGGTACGGTGGGTGAGCTCCTTGGGATTGTCATGCGGTGGTCAGTCTGATTAGGAAGCGAGCTGTCTGTGAGGTGCCGAGCTGCTTGGTGGCAAGCTGCCTATGGCGTGACGAACTACCTGTGGCGAGTTGCCTATGACGAGTTGCCTATGACGAGCTACATGTAAGTGACAAGCTGCTTGTAAGTGTCAGGCTATCTGTAAGTAACAGGTGTCATAATGTCATTGGAGGGCCACATCCGCCCTCATCATTTGCCCTCCACTCTCGAGCTGAAAGTAACTCGGTGAAGGGAGTAGATTTCTCATTTTGGCCCAGAATTCGATGAGCTCGTAAGCACTAATTCAGTTCCTTAGGCTGTGGGAGCGACTTATAGTCCACTCTTGTTGATTTTGTTCATGTCGAAGAGGCGATTGTGTCTTATGTGCCCATGCCAAGGAGGCGACTGGGACTAGCTCGCCCATGCCGAAGAGGCGATTGGGTCTTAAGTGCCCATGCTGAAGAGGCGACTGAGACTTAGCTTGCCCATGCCAAAGAGGCGACTGGGACTTAGCTTGCCCATGCCGAAGAGGCGACTGGGACATAGGTGCCCATGCCGAAGAGGCAACTGGGACTTAGCTTGTCCATGCCGAAGAGGCGACTGGGACTTAACTTGTCCATGCCGAAGAGGTGATTGGGACTTAAGTGCCCATGCCAAAGAGGCGACTAGGACTTAGCTTGCCCATGCCGAAGAGGTGACTGGGACTTAGGTGCCCATGCCGGAGAGGCGACTAGGACTTAACTTGCCCATGCCAAAGAGGCGATTGGGACTTAGGTGCCCATGCCAGAGAGGCGACTGGGACTTAGCTCGCCCATGCTGAAGAGGTGACTGGGACTTGCCTGATGTCGGGTTCTTTTATCGGTTTGTCAGTTTGTGCCTGGGCCAGGCCGCCAGGTCGACTGTGCCTCGTCATTTGGTCTGCTTCCAAGTGGTCGATGACTCAGAGGCCGAAGTGGAGCTGCCTGTGAGGTGTCGAGCTGCCTGTGAGATGCCGAGCTGCTTGTGAGGTGCTGGGCTGACCAGGTGATGGGCTGACCAGGTGCTGAGCTGCCTGCTGGCGAGTTGCATAGTGGCGGTCTGCCTAGTGGCGAGCTGCCTAGGTGCCGAGCTACCTAGGAGGTGTAGGGCTGACCAGGTGCCAAGCTGCCTGTGAGGTGCTGGGCTGACCCGGTGTCGGGCTACTTGTGAGGCGTCAGGCTGACCAGGTGCCAAACTGGATTGATGAGCTTCGTTGCTCTTTAGAGACCTGTAAGTAACTAAATGTCAGAGGACCCGGGGTGGCTAATTCGGTGAGGTTGCTCCGATGCTTAAGTCAATACTCTCATAGTAGACTGTGAGCTAAAAATCACAGTCTGAGAGCCAGAACTTGCTTATTTGCTTCTGGGGTTGGTGCCTTTATACAGGCATTGTCTAGTGTGGGGGCTTCATGCACCATATCCAAGATTTCTACAAGGTCGTCTAAGTGGTTCGAGATTTCTGGAGGTAACCACCATTCACGTTGACCACCCTCCAGATCGTTCGGCACGTGGACCAACTTCCAAGGATCGTGGGAGTGTTTGGATATGCATGCCGAATTCGTCGGCGAGAACGTCTTGCAAGTCG